CCCTTTGTGGAGTGGGGCTATGTCTGTTGTTTTTAGTAACTGTGGAACGACCCCCGTGTCCATGCTCCCACTCCATAGGATGGAAAAGGCTCGTGATAGGGGCTTCTTGCAGTTCTTGATGAACACGGAGTTCCATGAGTCTGGCCCTGGGGCAGAGTGCATGGGCATGTCATTTATCGCCTGTTCGAAGTCATTTGGCGTCAGGATAACATCGGATAGGCTTGTGTTAATCAAATTTTGTGGCTCTCTCATAAAAAATTCATTTTGATCTTCGACTCTCAGTCTGGTTAGCGGCTTGCTAAAAACTGAGTCATATTGGGACTTGAGTAGCTCACTCATTTCCTTGCTGTCATCTGTGTAGGTCCCATCTTGTTTAAGTAGGGGCCCAATACTGGACGTTGTTCTCGACTTTCATTTGGCATAGGAGAAGAAATACTTTGGGTTTCTTTCGATTTCATTTATGGCTTTTAGTTCTTCCCGCGATTCCTGACTCCTATAAGATTCCTTTAGCTTAAGTTCGATGCTTGCTATTTCTCTGACCAGTGTCTCCCTACGCATTTCAGATATATTGACCTCTTTTAGCCGCTCTGTTATTCTTTTCCGTCACCTGTAAAGGGAGCGCCTGTCTCTTTCTATTTTACATCTACTCCTCCTTTTTCTTAGAGGAATAAGCCTTGTGCATACATCGAGTGCCACCAAGTTAATCTGTTCTAGGCATAAGTATATTTTCCGGAAATACGGTAATTTATAGGTAAATAGATGCCCTATATTGTATTTTTAAAAGAAGTATGTTATCGAAAAAGAAGAAGAGACTCGCCATCTTGGTTTTGAATTTTGTACAAACGTTGGTGTAATGGGAAGAATTTTTCGTGCTCTAGAGGTTAAAATTGTGTTGACACTTCTCAAATAGGAGGCGAAATTGGTGAATGTGCATTTCTGCATAACTTGAGATATCAGACGACTGGACAAGACAGCTCCAGGAACCTCAGATAAGCTCTCTAGATTTGTGTGTAATTCTGGCCAGCATTATTTTCATAGATTTAGTTAGAGTGAGGTGTTGTGAAAGAAACACAGGCCTTATCTCTAGGCTTTATTGAACATAGAATCTTCATAGTACTTCTGCAACAACAAAATATAATGACTAGTACATCTAATAATGGCTTCTACAGGGATGGTGATGTCTTGCATATGTCAAGAGAAAAGTTATAACTACAGGCCACATATTTAAACTCACCATGTAATCTGCATCACAGATAAATGGATAAAGTATAAGAGAATCACACACCATGTGTTGGTGCCCATGACCACACCAAACTGTTGTTGTTGTTGTTAAGGGCCCCTAGAGGTGGTGCAGTATTATCCTGCTGCTGCTCCTCACAGGACCAGTATCACTACATGAGGTTTTCTGAGTATGATACACATTAATCTCCAGTCAAATTGGTGAGTGATATTAAGACATATTTTCCTTCTGTTATGTAATTGTGTATATAACCATTTATTATTTTTAATATACAGTCCACAAATTTATATATATACCAGTATTCCTGGTGTATGTATATTTCATTTAATTAATAGGTCCAGAGCAACTTGTGGTTATGACAGTGGTAAGTATCGAAGGGGGACATTTTTTGCGACCTACGTGTCCCAAATTCCTACTTGTCTATGTAACATTGATAAATAATAATTATCTTTGTTATCATTTACTGTTATGTACATAATTACATTCAGATAAATGCAATTTTACACATGTATATATATAATATATATATATATATATATATATATAATATATATATATATATATATATATATATATATATATATATATAATATATATATATATATATATATATATATATATATATATATATATATATATATATATATAATATATATATATATATATATATATAATATATATATATATATATATATATATATATATATATATTATTTCTAAGAATCTACATATGTGTACATTCTTAGAGAAATCATTGCATTTGCTATTAAAGTATATGAAGAACATTAATGGGTGTGTTAGAGAGGTTAAACAGCAGTTCAACAAAACATGGCCATGCCTGCCGATCCATGTTTTGCCAGTAATTGAAGGAAATCGAAGTTGTATGTGGAGAGGAGGAGGAGATGATGTAGAGCCGTCATGTAGCACATTAACCATCACCTCAGTCACTTCCAACTCTCCTTCCTGCCTACTTCACGATGCTTTTTTGTTCGTAAGTTTTGTTTTCTAGGTAGACTTGTGGTGTCTATAGTGTTGTTGACAAATGTCAGATGACTACCTCCAATGTTCGTAAGTTATTTAGGTGAGTTAGCACCTTCCTCTTTCAGCGTTTAGTAGTGGAAGTGTTTCAGCAGAGTCATGAGGTGATATATGAGGGGATTTTCGCAGTTATATGACCAGTCAGTGAGTAGATGTTGGTAAATATGAGAACAACGACGCCTACTCTTGCACTTTCTGTTTGAGGTTAATGTTAACCTACAGAGGTTAATAATTATCTTTATCCAGTAGCACACAGTTATATTAGTGTTAAATTAAATACTTTATATCGTATGTGCCACAAATTTAAGCCTGGCGTGACTGTAATCTTAACTGACCATAAGTAACATAACTAAATAAGGAAGAAATTTCAGCAAACACGTTCCATAAATATCATAATTTTTATTAACATTAACTGTCGATATTATGTTAACCTGGTGTTATAAATGTGGTGTAGTTGTTGGTTGATTAGTTGCTCATGACTTGGTTGATTGGTTTCTTATGCCTCAGTTGATTGGTTGCTTATGGCTTGGTTGATTGGTTGCTTGTGGTTTGGTTAATTGTTCATGGCTTGGTTGATTGGTTGCTCATGGCTTGGTTGATTGGTTGCTCATGGCTTGGTTGATTGGTTGCTCATGGCTTGGTTGATTGGTTGCTAATGGCTTGGTTGATTGGTTGCTTGTGGTTTGGTTAATTGTTCATGGCTTGGTTGATTGGTTGCTCATGGCTTGGTTGATTGGTTGCTCATGGCTTGGTTGATTGGTTGCTCATGGCTTGGTTGATTGGTTGCTCATGGCTTGGTTGATTGGTTGCTCATGGCTTGGTTGATTGGTTGCTCATGGCTTAGTTGATTGGCTGTTCATGGCTTGGTTGATTGTTCATAGCTTGGTTGATTGTTCATGGCTAGGTTGATTGGGTGTTCATTGTTTGGTTGATTGGGCGTTTATGGCTTTGTTGATTGGGTGCTCATGGCTAGGTTGACTGGTTGCTCATGGCTTGGTTGATTGTTCATAGCTTGGTTGATTGTTCATGGCTAGGTTGATTGGGTGTTCATTGTTTGGTTGATTGGGCGTTTATGGCTTTGTTGATTGGGTGCTCATGGCTAGGTTGACTGGTTGCTCATGGCTTGGTTGATTGGGTTCTGTTGGCATAGTTGATTGGGTGTTCATGGCTTGGTTGATTGCATGTTCATGGCTCGGGTGATTGGGTGTTCATGGTTTGGTAGCATTCTCAGATCACACATTAAGTTACTGGGGATTGCTCCATGGCATGAGTAAAACTTTGAGCATTGTTTTCTTATACTTGTCCATGTTCACATAACAGTAAGTAGGTACCTAGATATTTAGTCAGGCCACATCCTGGGGAGAATATTTAAGGACCCCAGTGGAAATAAGACTGACAGTCCCCGATGATACATGGACTTTATTGGACTATCCTGGGTCACCCAGAATTAATAATCCAGACAAAATCTTTTTCGTCTCGTGGATGATCAATCGCATAGCTGGTAGAAAATGCTTTTCTTCTTGAGAAGAGTTCTCAGTTGTGTTTAAATGAAAAAAAATCTCGGTAAATATTTTCATAAGGCATTCTCAAATTTTTAAAATGTTCATTAATAGTACCAGTGTTTCTTTGGAAGTAATTGCTGGCACTTACTATTACTATATACTGTATATACTGGCACTTATTACTATATACTGGAGGATCTGATATAGCTTAACCTACTAAGCCTTACGTAATCTAATCTAATCCAATCTAACCTAACAATCTATGTAGCCTAATCTAGGCAAACCTGTGTGCAGTCGGCCCTAAAAGAGGCAAAACACTTCTGTGTCCATAACTACAATCAATTGTAATTAAAATTTTTTTTATCTGTAATATGCACTTTTTATTTGGAATCTCTTAATAAAAATAAATTAGCAAGAAAAGACTTGCATAGCTCAATATTGTATGTATTAACAGCATATTTGGTAAAAATATTTATATATGCAGTAATATAAAATATTGTGTAATTCATTCAGATTTTTCCTGCCCTGGAAATTGTATACTTGAAAGTATGGAGGAAGCACTGTCTGTCACCTTTCACTAGGCTTATCACCTCATGAGTGATATTCTACTGCACCATCAGCTGCACCAGGTTACATGATTGGTTCATTTGGTTTGAAGAATGAACAAGGGTTTTTAAGGCTGAATTTGCTTGCACATCAACAGTCTAGAATGCCTTAATCCCTAAAATAAGTATTAAACTCAGTTTATATACACTGAGAAACATACACCCCTGGGTGTGTATGATGTATATGCCCTGTGGGTAGGTTATAAGTTTTATGTTTATGGACTGATTTCCTCGGTTCATATAATTTTCCTCCTACTTCCATCCCTAAGTAGATTAAGCTTGGACAAAGACTTTCCAAGTGTAATCCATGTTGGAAAGCATATTTCTTTTGGCTTAAAGGGTGGTGATATTCTCCAATACATAATAACTTGAAATGTACCTCAGTTTATCTCTCTTAGAGTTTCTTCTATGGGTGATTTGTGAACTATTGTTGGTGGTTCTTAAATTCTGACAGAATACAGTGATTTTGATCAATAGGTATTGTTTTATTACAAAAATGATTCTTTCAGTTTCAGTTTAAATAAATTTTATTGCAGCTCTGTATTTAATACATAACTGAAATGGTAAATATCATAAATAATTTCCTTCCAGGGAAGTATGGAAGAGTGTTCCAGCCTGAGGTCAAGTGATTCTGCAGGTACCAGTGAAGAATATGAAATTGTGGAAAGTTTGGCAAGCCAGGAGTCTGAGCCCCAACTGAACATTGCCAATAACGGCAATATGGAGGACCTACAGCATGAGCTCACAGAGGTGCCCCTATGACTCCATCTATATACATCAAAGTCTACTTAACAAAAGCTAACTATTCTAGGCAACCTTTGCTGTTATGTTTATTATAATTGCATGAGTAACAGTAATCATCTATCTGAAGTCACTAAGATTGAATTGCAGTTCCATATTTTTAAAATGAATTGAATTAGTTTATACAGGTTGGCCATCACTAATCTGGCAATCAATTATCTGGTTCCATCAGTAATGCAGCACTAATTTCAGCTAGCATAATTTAAAATTTCATCATTATAGTGACTCAGAAATTATGCAGATGGTTGTAAATCCACAGCAGCAAGCCAGTTCAGGAGAAAGCAGTGACAAAAATGAGGAAGATGTAGCAGTCTGTTTATAGGTTAATTAAGTGTATTCTAACCTAACCACTCTGTAATCTGGTAAACTCACTAATCTGGCATACTACAGGTCCCAGTGATGCCGGATTAGTGATGGCCGACCTGTACTGTACTAACAAATCACCAAGTCGTATGTAATAATGTTGGTAGAATTACCGACAATATGTAAAGTAAAAGGACACAAGTGCAACTAATGTGACATTTTTATTGTGGCAACGTTTCACTCTCCAGGAGCTTTGTCAAGCCATTACAAACAGTACATGGACACAGAGGGCATATATAGGCTCAGAGTGAGGTGCAGTACTAGTGGTAGTAGTAGTAGTAGTGATATAAGTTGTAGTAGTAGTAGTAATACATAAGAACATAAGAAAGGAGGAACACTGCAGGAGGCCTGCTGGCCCATACTAGGCAGGTCCTTTACAATTCATCCCACTAACAAAACATTTGCCCAACCCAATTTTCAATGCCACCCAAGAAATAAGCTCTGATGTGAAAGTCCCACTCAAATCCAACCCCTCCCACTCATGTACTTATCCAACCTAGATTTGAAACTACCCAAAGTCCCAGCCTCAATAACCCAACTAGGTAGACTGTTCCACTCATCAACTACCCTATTTCCAAACCAATACTTTCCTATGTCCTTTCTAAATCTAAACTTATCTAATTTAAATCCATTACTGCGGGTTCTCTCTTGGAGAGACATCCTCAAGACCTTATTAATATTCCCTTTATTAATACCTATCTTCCACTTATACACTTCGATCAGGTCTCCCCTCATTCTTCGTCTAACAAGTGAATGTAACTTAAGAGTCTTTTAATCTTTCTTCATAAGGAAGATTTCTAATGCTATGTATTAGTTTAGTCATCCTACGCTGAATGTTTTCTAACGAATTTATGTCCATTTTGTAATACGGAGACCAGAAGTGAGCTGCATAATCTAGGTGAGGCCTTACTAATGATGTATAAAGCTGCAGTATGACCTCTGGACTTCTGTTGCTTACACTTCTTGATATAAATCCCAGTAATCTATTTGCCTTATTACGTACGCTTAGGCATTGCTGTCTTGGTTTAAGGTTGCTGCTCACCATAACCCCCAAGTCCTTTTCGCAATCTGTATGGCTAAGTTCTACATCATTTAACTTATAAGTACTAGGGTTATGGGCACCCCCCAAGCTTTTAGAACCTTGCATTTATCTACATTGAACTGCATCTGCCACTTTTCTGACCAAGAATAGAGTTTGTTTAAATCCTCCTGAAGTTCCATAACATCTACGTTTGAATCAATTATCCTACCTATCTTTGTGTCATCGGCGAATTTGCTCATATCACTAGTAATTCCCTCATCAAGATCATTGATATATACCACAAACAACAACGGGCCCAAGACTGATCCCTGTGGAACGCCACTTGTTACAGATCCCCACTCGGATTTAACCCCATTTATGGACACTCTCTGCTTCCTGTCAGTGAGCCATGACAATACAATATGGTAGAACAATTAACTTGTACATGAGTATAAGGATATAAAAGCTATTACTTGGGTAATATAAAAATAGGTTAGATAAATATTTCTATTGGAGGCTGGATAGAGAAGGCCTGTTTCAATGTTCATTCTCTGTAATGTGCTTGTTTAGTATTAACAGGAGAGACTGTGTGATGGCAGGGTTTACTGTTTTCAGGATGATTCTTGCTAAGACTACTACTACAACTACAACTTATATCACTACTACTACTACTACCACCACTAGTATTGCACCTCACTCTGAGCCTATATATACCCTCTGTGTCCATGTACTGTTTTTTAACGGCTTGACAAAGCTCCTGGAGAGTGAAACGTTACCACAATGAAAATGTCACATTAGTTGCACTTGTGTCCTTTTACTTTACAAATCATCAGGTCACAGAATTATACCCTACGTATAATATACAGTATATGTGTTTGTTTTTTGTCAATAAATATTTTCTTTTTTTGACGTGTATGCGTATTTTGAGATACTATCCCCTCCAGGGAGGTTCCTTGATGCTGGTGAAGGGCTCTTGATCCAAGGAATTTTACTTGTCCTCTCCATCCTTAAATGGAACCTGAATGCCTCTCATTCCCAGGTGCTGTATGACCCCTACAGGTTTAGCACTTCCCTCTAAATAGAATTACAGTATAGTAATTGAAACACAGTGTAACAAGAGATCTTGGACTCCACAATTCTCAAGCTTTAATACTAACCTTGGTGTAACCAATAAATGCAGTTGACTTGAATTAGATGTAGACTAATGGCTTGAAAGCTATTTACTTAAAATATATTATAGATAGCATAACTATAGTCAAGTTCACAGACACTGCTAAGATTAAAATGAATAAATGGTCCTTATAAAAGTTGGTAATTGTTATTAAAGCTACACCTACAATACATAGGAAGTGTCACAAGATGGAGTTATGGCATGAATATCTTAATTTTGGTAACACAGTCTTAAAACACTTATTTCTTTAGAAGAGATATTTACAAAATATTGTTCTTTTTATATTTCAAAATACAATAGTTTCGTACAACTGTCTTTAGCAAAGTTGAGGTATTGACTTCATTGCTCTTGTCTCATGATGCCTCTTATTTATGTGTTAATCTGCCACACATCCCCATACTCTCCATTTCCTGCCAAAGATTGTCATATTCTGCTTCTGTCTTTCAAGACTTCTTATCTCAGTTTACTGCTTGAACTTTTTCCTTTCTCTAATACTGTACTTTGCACTTCTTTATACTTGCTGAGGAAGCCCTCATTCTCTTCTCTTATTCTTATTACTTGCAGTGTAAGCAGGTGGCTACTGCTTCACTTTTATAAAAGCTAACTCAGCAAGCAGAATTCTTCACCAACTGTTTCAAGGATTGATGTTGGATCATCGACAGTTGAAGGTGTGGAGATGGTCAGTAACCACAGTGTTTAGGACAGATATTTGATTTGCCACCCTGAAATACATCTGGGAAAAGGCATACACAGTATAGAAAACAGAAGACAAAAGTGATACATATATTTTAAGAACAAGTAGTGTTACACATTTTAATTCTAATTTTTTTTCACAACAATGACTACTTTTGCAGGTAATGAGAGAGAAGAGCTCGGAAAGTTCCTCACCTAACAGCATGGACTCCAGCACAAAATCATTAGCAAAGAAGGATGAGGAGCCCTCATGCTTCACTCTGCCAATTCTGGAAACTCAGGTCTCCCATATTTCATCTCTGAGTGAAGATGCTTGTAGTAGTAGTGATGGGAGGATGGACGACAGGAATCTTGGAGAAAATAATCCAAGTTTCTCCCAGGTGGCTTCAGATGATGATAGTAAGCTTTTCTTTTCATATAAAAGTTTCTCATATACTGTAGATGTAAAAATTCTTAAATATAAGATAAGATAAGATTTCGTTCCGATTTTTAACCCCGGAGGGTTAGCCACCCAGGATAACCCAAGACAGTCAGTGCATCATTGAGGACTGTCTAACTTATTTCCATTGGGGTCCTCAATCTTGTTCCCCAGGATGCGACCCACACCAGTCGACTAACACCCAGGTACCTATTTGCTGCTAGGTGAACAGGACAACAGGTGTAAGGAAACGTGTCGAAATGTTTCCACCCGCTGGGAATTGAAACCGGGCCCACCAGGTGTGAAGCGGGAGCTTTAGCCACCAGGCTACCGGGCCACCCGATATTGAATTTCTTACTAAAGATATCCTTGATTACATAATGCACTGTGAGTTTATAATATATAATTCAGTATGACTTAAGGTACATTACTACAGTATTGCTAAGAAGCAAGTCTTAATTTCTTTAATTTATTGATTTTCTGACAGGTGGTGAATGCTCTCTTCTTGGTTTGTCCCAAAGTTTAAGTTGTAGCCCATGACTGACATTTTAATTTTTATTTGGTTTGTTGTGGTTTTGCTTGGGCCTTTTGTGTGCCTTTTTTTAGTGCTTCTGGCTTATTTTAATCATAATTTACAGTACTCTCAGAATGGCCTTGGTGCATTGAAGAAAACAACTAGCAGGCTCTGCGTGGATTGCCGATGCAATGCTTTTTCTGCTGGAAATAGTTGTTTTAGTAAATTCTATACTGTAGTCATTTAAATTAAAACATTTCCATGTCAAGGCAAAGATCTGATATTACATTACCATACTTCTTGGTAAAGACGCAGGATATGGTTAGAACTAATTGCTATATAATTCTCACTGTATATTCTTGGGCAAAGTATAGTTGACCTTTGAACAACACAGGTTTGAACTGCGTGGGTCCACTTATATGCGGATTTTTTTCAATAAATATGTTGGAAAATTTTTTTTGCAGATTTGTAACCAAGAAAAATAAGAAAAACTTAGGAATGTCATGAATGCATAGAATATATGTAGATACTAGTCTATTTTATCATTTACTACCATCAAATATACACAAATCTATTATAAAAAGTGAAAATTTATCAAAACTTGCTCACACAATTACAGATCGTATATGTTCAATTCACAGTCGAGAGAAATGTAAACAAACGTAGAGATGCGATATTAAATCATAAATAAATATGAATTTCTTTTTCACATTATCTTTTATTTTTTGTTATCTAACGTTACTAATACAGTGGAACCTCCACTCACAAGTTTAATCCATTCTGTGACCTTGCTCGCATCTGGATTTGCTCATTTGCAGAGTCAGTTTTCCTCATTTAAATTAATTGAAATGTAATTAATTCGTTCCAGCTCTCAGGAGACACGACAAAATACTTCAATAATTTCCCTTATAATATCAACTCTATGGCTTATTTATCTATAACAATTCATCTAATATGACATAATAAACAATGTAAATAACATAGAAACCTGATATATACTCTAGAATGAATAAAATATGTCATTCATGTAGTGGTATCATCAGCAGTGGACGAGAGTTTGTCTGGAGACCAGACAAAATCCTTGAATAATTTCGCTAATATCATCTATACGGCTTATTTATCTATCATAATTCATCTAATATGACATAATAAACATTGTAAATAACATAGAAACCTGATATATACTCTAGAATGAATAAAATATGTCATTATGTAACAGGTGGAGGTGGCCACAACTGCTCCTCCTTTCTTGTGGTAAACACTGCCATCTAGTGACAGCCTTTTGAAGCAGTCTATTATTATAATTATTATTGTAGAGTACACATATATTATATAATTTTTTAGTACATTATTATTATACACGTATTATTATTATACGTATTATTATTATTATACGTATTATATTATTATTATTATATTATTATACTATTATTATTATACATATTATTATTATTATTATTATTATTATTATTATTATTATTATTATTTTTTTTTTTTTATTATTATCACACTGGCCGATTCCCACCAAGGCAGGGTGGCCCGAAAAAGAAAAACTTTCACCAGCATTCACTCCATCACTGTCTTGCCAGAAGGGTGCTTTACACTACAGATTTTAAACTGCAACATTAACACCCCTCCTTCAGAGTGCAGGCACTGTACTTCCCATCTCCAGGACTCAAGTCCGGCCTGCCGGTTTCCCTGAATCCCTTCATAAATGTTACTTTGCTCACACTCCAACAGCACGTCAAGTATTAAAAACCATTTGTCTCCATTCACTCCTATCAAACACACTCACGCATGCCTGCTGGAAGTCCAAGCCCCTCGCACACAAAACCTCCTTTACCCCCTCCCTCCAACCTTTCCTAGGCCGACCCCTACCCCGCCTTCCTTCCACTACAGACTGATACACTCTTGAAGTCATTCTGTTTTGCTCCATTCTCTCTACATGTCCGAACCACCTCAACAACCCTTCCTCAGCCCTCTGGACAACAGTTTTGGTAATCCCGCACCTCCTCCTAACTTCCACACTACGAATTCTCTGCATTATATTCACACCACACATTGCCCTCAGACATGACATCTCCACTGCCTCCAGCCTTCTCCTCGCTGCAACATTCATCACCCACGCTTCACACCCATATAAGAGTGTTGGTAAAACTATACTCTCATACATTCCCCTCTTTGCCTCCAAGGACAGACTCCTAAGTGCACCACTCACTCTTTTTCCCTCATTAATTCTATGATTCACCTCATCTTTCATAGACCCATCCGCTGACACGTCCACTCCCAAATATCTGAATACGTTCACCTCCTCCATACTCTCTCCCTCCAATCTGATATCCAATCTTTCATCACCTAATCTTTTTGTTATCCTCATAACCTTACTCTTTCCTGTATTCACCTTTAATTTTCTTCTTTTGCACACCCTACCAAATTCATCCACCAATCTCTGCAACTTCTCTTCAGAATCTCCCAAGAGCACAGTGTCATCAGCAAAGAGCAGCTGTGACAACTCCCACTTTGTGTGTGATTCTTTATCTTTTAACTCCATGCCTCTTGCCAAGACAGTCACATTTACTTCTCTTACAACCCCATCTATAAATATATTAAACAACCACGGTGACATCACACATCCTTGTCTAAGGCCTACTTTTACTGGGAAAAAATTTCCCTCTTTCCTACATACTCTAACTTGAACCTCACTATCCTCGTAAAAACTCTTCACTGCTTTCAGTAACCTACCTCCTACACCATACACTTGCAACATCTGCCACATTGCCCCCCTATCCACCCTGTCATACTCCTTTTCCAAATCCATAAATGCCACAAAGACCTCTTTAGCCTTATCTAAATACTGTTCACTTATATGTTTCACTGTAAACACCTGGTCCACACACCCCCTACCTTTCCTAAAGCCTCCTTGTTCATCTGCTATCCTATTCTCCATCTTACTCTTAATTCTTTCAATTATAACTCTACCATACACTTTACCAGGTATACTCAACAGACTTATCCCCCTATAATTTTTGCACTCTCTTTTATCCCCTTTGCCTTTATACAAAGGAACTATGCATGCTCTCTGCCAATCCTAGTACCTTACCCTCTTCCATACATTTATTAAATAATTGCACCAACCACTCCAAAACTATATCCCCACCTGCTTTTAACATTTCTATCTTTATCCCATCAATCCCGGCTGCCTTACCCCCTTTCATTTTACCTACTGCCTCACGAACTTCCCCCACACTCACAACTGGCTCTTCCTCACTCCTACAAGATGTTATTCCTCCTTGCCCTATACACGAAATCACAGCTTCCCTATCTTCATCAACATTTAACAATTCCTCAAAATATTCCCTCCATCTTCCCAATACCTCTAACTCTCCATTTAATAACTCTCCTCTCCTATTTTTAACTGACAAATCCATTTGTTCTCTAGGCTTTCTTAACTTGTTAATCTCACTCCAAAATTTTTTCTTATTTTCAACAAAATTTGTTGATAACATCTCACCCATTCTCTCATTTGGTCTCTTTTTACATTGCTTCACCACTCTCTTAACCTCTCTCTTTTTCTCCATATACTCTTCCCTCCTTGCATCACTTCTACTTTGTAAAAACTTCTCATATGCTAACTTTTTCTCCCTTACTACTCTCTTTACATCATCATTCCACCAATCGCTCCTCTTTCCTCCTGCACCCACTTTCCTGTAACCACAAACTCTGCTGAACACTCTAACACTACATTTTTAAACCTACCCCATACCTCTTCGACCCCATTGCCTATGCTCTCATTAGCCCATCTATCCTCCAATAGCTGTTTATATCTTACCCTAACTGCCTCCTCTTTTAGTTTATAAACCTTCACCTCTCTCTTCCCTGATGCTTCTATTCTCCTTGTATCCCATCTACCTTTTACTCTCAGTGTAGCTACAACTAGAAAGTGATCTGATATATCTGTGGCCCCTCTATAAACATGTACATCCTGAAGTCTACTCAACAGTCTTTTATCTACCAATACATAATCCAACAAACTACTGTCATTTCGCCCTACATCATATCGTGTATACTTATTTATCCTCTTTTTCTTAAAATATGTATTACCTATAACTAAACCCCTTTCTATACAAAGTTCAATCAAAGGGCTCCCATTATCATTTACACCTGGCACCCCAAACTTACCTACCACACCCTCTCTAAAAGTTTCTCCTACTTTAGCATTCAGGTCCCCTACCACAATTATTCTCTCACTTGGTTCAAAGGCTCCTATACATTCACTTAACATCTCCCAAAATCTCTCTCTCTCCTCTGCATTCCTCTCTTCTCCAGGTGCATACACGCTTATTATGACCCACTTCTCGCATCCAACCTTTACTTTAATCCACATAATTCTTGAATTTACACATTCATATTCTCTTTTCTCCTTCCATTACTGATCATTTAACATTACTGCTACCCCTTCCTTTGCTC